GGGATTGCGCACACGAGGGAGGGAGAACGCATTCGGAGCAAAAGAGATGGCAAGTATAATACGTGGTATTCGATCTCGAGTGGTACAGTCTGCGTCCTAAATTAATCGAATAACTTCAATAATGGAATACGCGTTATGTGAAGCCTGCTTTCGTAATCGAAATTGTTGGCATGTCAAATTTTTGAATATCTTTTTGTGAACCCAATATTCTAAACTTGGTAACTTCATTAACGTTACAAGACTAAGTTCTATCGTTGTCAGCGTTAGAACATCAATTCCACGAGCACCGGATCTATTGAATGTAGTATTTCATGTGGCTCGATAATACTTAGAGAAAATTTGTTCAATAGGTTGAGTTTATGTGAATTATAAAATTGAGTTTGAGAGTATATCATATACAATTAACGAATCTATATCGCTAGGATATGTTAAAATACAATTGTAGGTCCACCAGAAGCGTTTAAAAATCTATATCTAAAAAAAACAAATTTTTCATATACTGCTTTTTCAATATTTTCAAAATTTCATACCTAATACATTAGTTCTACAGAAATAGTTTTATGTTTCCACACCTGTTCACGACCGAAGAAAGGTTAAAAATCGTATTTATGTGATTATTTATATAAATGAGATAAACATAGCAATAAGGAAACCAAAACAATTTATTCCATAAAACAAATATTGCACGCTATCTAGCTATAAGACTGAAATTGATTGGTACTCATTCTATTTTTAATTGTTAATAATTTCAATTAATAAACAATCAATTGAAAAGCAAGGACAGAAAACTAATATGGTATTAGATATAGTTGGTAATATTTTAAAGATCTATGAAGTTTCACTGAGGATCAAATCCTGAAAGTTCGGAATCGGAATCTGAGCTACTACTTAAACTTAAATATTCGGTTCCGCTATCGCTATCTTCGTCTAGGTTTATTACTATTTGATCCACAACTGAATCGACTGCTGGTTCCATTTATATACTGCTTCTCAAAATCTTTGGCATAAGATAAGACGAGAAAAAGACGTCGCAACGTTTGTCGACAGTGTTGAGATTACAATCTACATTTCTCAAATTTTGTTTCAGAGATGCCCATACCAACTCAATTGAGTTCAAGCCGGGATGATATGGTGGCAATCTCAAGACAGAATGACCTTTTTCAGCCATTATTTTGTCTATTTCATAAGTTATATATGCCGTCTTCTCCTGGGTTGCTGAATCTCTGATTTCTCCTTAAGAAGCCTTCAATAAGTTCTTGCCTTCCTGCAACAGAATCCCATTGCCCTCGTAACTTTCCTTGAAGTTTCATGTGATCCAGTGTAATTGAGTTCTTGAAAAAAATTCCTGTGTATGCGCCGCAAAGTTTGAACCTTCTTTTCCGTTATGTAAAAATTTATTATAGATCGACGAAGCAATCGCCTATCAAAGTCGTCGAAATCAGATTTGGGGGTGGCTCTTCGTTTTTTTTTCTTTGGTGTCCTAAAATAGACTAACTCCCGTGGCCATGTCTGCACGCTCCTGAACCTTCTTCAAATCTGTAAAAGGTTTATTTCCTTCTGCTTCTCGTTGCATAAAGAATATAACATTTGCTACAACCTCCATAGTATATCCTGATGTAACTTTACGTTGTAATTTGGATTTAAAATCCATTATAAACGAGTAAATCTCTTGGCACACCAAGGAATAAATGGCGACAATTAATAGCGTAAAATTGTATGCATTCAATCCACAAATTCTTGAGAATACATACAATTCACAGATAATAAGTAATAAAGTTGTTTTACTGCCTGACAATGTGTCTCCTGACTGTACGCTAACTAGTCTCGACACGACAAGAGACTACTTTGCTTAATCCGGCGAATTGAGCCGCTAGCTACTGCACTCCTAGAAGCCGTGGTATTATTCAAAAATTCGCATCTCCTCGAGCGTGATCCCGATCATCGAGTTTTTGTGAATGTGCACCGTTTACTCTCAGAAGAACGATTTCCAAATCAACTGCCCGTTTCTCCATCTAAGGAAAAATTAAAATTTGTAGTAATGGGAACTAAAATATCATCACACGTTCCGATTTTTTCGATTTTTCTTAAATCCCTTAATTTGAAAAGAACGCGACTTAAACATTTTGATAACTATTATGACTTCGCGTATCCCCCGTTTCCGGCTTGACATCGACTTCTGGGACACCCTGTGTGTCTATGTCGATACGTTTGCATTGAAGCTGTGGCAACATTAAGAGGAAGCACTGCCTCTATGAATCAAAGCCCAAAATGGCAACCCGATTCCGTATCGCGACATTATGTTTCCAACCCTCCCAATTATCCTTGTTATTCATCCCCCGTCCCCCCTTATATCACGTATTCATAGCTTGGGTTATCGAACTCTGCATTATTCGATATTTATTATTCACCCTTAGAAAGTTCATAAAGTTTCGATGAGAGAGGGTGGGAACTATGTATTTCGTGACGTGGGGGGACTCAAATATGGTTTCAAAAAACATTGGTTATCAGAATGCCATATGATTTGAATGCAATTTCGTTGAACCTGGTTTGAGGAAAACTGGAAACCTTTCTTAACGAACATGACCAAAAACTAAAAAAAAGGAGTCATGTAGATTGACTCTAAACGTTCTACGTTGGCGGTTTCAACAAAAAAAATGGGTGGGTAGAATCGCTTTGAAAGGCGAAATCGAATCGATTAGGAGGCTCATCTGGTACGATGAATCTTCTACCGCTGCATATCAAATTATATAAAGCAAACCTATCATATTTCTGTGTCCATGGCAGGTGTAGGGAAAATATACTTGTTATAATAATAATAACCACCACCGCTCTATGGGTTAGCACCCCTAGAACGTGTATATTTAAATGCTCTTAAAACGAGAAATAAGAGATACTCAAGGCGGGCCGGCGCAGCAGGAGCCGGGCGGAACCGTCTTGAAGATTTACCTGCAACCTACCGCGGCAATGAACAAGGACCAGCAGATTACCAACCCAGTCGAGTACACCACCACCAAACGTACCAAGCCAATATGTCGATGTTGCTGGACTATCAGAGCCCATGCCCACCATGTCACAAGGCACAGTTAGGCAACGAACCATGTGGACAGAAGAAATCAGTGCATTCATGGTTCGCTGCTATTACAGATTAACCCGACTAGAAACCGCCAAAGCTCCATACAGCCGAGGACTACATAGACTGGTAACTGAAAAATTTCCAATGCTTCGTCATAAGACTATACAAAATATCATAGTCCAGACAAGACCTATATTTATAAATAGACGTCAATCACCAAATATTATTACACAAATAAAGCGCAAAGTTGCGACAGAACTATTATTTACCTGCTGATCACTCCAATGCTGACGATGAACCAGCGGCCCCTGTACCGGAGGCCAACAGACCTCCCTCTGCTGCTGAGTTGGAATTCGACCGGATTCATTTGCTTTATGATCGAATGGACCCTATGATGAAACCTAGACTTCCCAAACTAATTTATAATAACCAGACAAAATCTATATTGAGTGAAATCAACAAAATTCTGGATTCCAAAATAGCAACTGATATACCCATCGAAAATCTACACAGCCCTATTTATAGTGGAGCAGCAACGGTGCTAACACTACACAAGCAGAAAATCTACACCATTGATTCCCAAAGTGGTCTATATCGACCCCTAGGGGTCTATGACAACCTGCAAGGGGTCTACGTCAGCGAAAAAAAAATTTGGGGGTCCATGAAATGAATATGGGGGTCCACGATAGTGGATCTCAACACATACACTGATAGTACCTATTTACTTACATCATACTATCTTATGATATCAAAACATATACATTTTTCATGAAAGTATCTATGAAGTAAAAAATGTATTATATATGTTTATAAAATTGTGAAAGTTGTAGGATGTTGGTATTCGCTTTGTGGTCGCAATACATTTTGAACTTGTAAAAACCTGAGAGTCACAGTCTCAGAGCTTCGCTAACTTGCACTGACTTGTTCAGTTCGTCACTCTATAAATACGAATGTGGGACAAATACGTTTATTCGTTTCCTGAATCTTGAAAAGGAAAGTGCTAAGAAACTATTTTAACAAATATAAACAGATAGTATATCACACAAATTATAGTGAGTCAGTGTTATTTTGTTTGAGAGTGCTGGAGAAAAGTAAGTACATTATTTTTTATTAAATTTTAGTTTTGTACTTGTAGTTAGCAAAGATAGATAAATTACGCCAATCATGACTTTAGTTATTAGGAGTTAAATATTCAATCATGCAAAATTACACGAGTATTCCTCAATAGTTTCTTTTTGAAAGTTTTAGCAATCGGTAATATAATTACAGTGCAATCTCCGTAATTCGAGCTAATTGTTGCAAGAAGATGTTCGAATTATGGTATTTTTTCGGAAAAATCAAAAAATATTTTTAATATACAGCTGCTGGATTTTCTGTCTTATTTAAATAATTTCATTTTGCCCACAGATCACTGATGCCATGTCCGAATCTAAAAAGAAATGTAGACAGTACAGTGTTGATTATTTGAAATTTGGCTTCATTCCATCATTGCCGGACAAAAAATCGCCTATGTGCCTTTTATGCAACAAAGTTTTGGGCAATGACGCTATGAAACCATCTCAACACTCAAAGATAAATTTCAGAAAAGACCTACACTAGACAGAATGTTCGCTTCGACGTCACAAAGAAATGATGATGGTTTGCGGGCGTCTTACAATATCTCGTTACCTATAGCAAAATCCGGAATACCGCATACTATCGGAGAGAAGTTAATTTTGCCAGCCGTTGAAGAGGTTTTAAAAACTGATTTGCACAAACCTGCACCTGATATCATTAAAAGAATTCCCTTAAGCAACAATACTGTTGAAAGACGTATTGATGAAATGAGTTCTGATATTGAAAGCTTCTTATGTAATTATTTGCAAACGACCCATTTCTCTATACAACTGGACGAGTCAACTTTACCTGATAATGCAGCATTATTATTGGCATATGTTCGTTTTATTATGAATCAAGAAATCTACGAAGAACTGCTCTTCGCAAGAACTTTGATAACCGACACTAAAGGTGAATCAATATTTCATGTTTTGAAGGATTACTTCATTGAAAAAGCAATTCCTTTATCAAACATAATATCAGTAGCTACAGATGGAGCACCTGCCATGGTTGGTCGTTATCGTGGATTTATAAGCTATTTAAAATAAAATGTGTCAGGGGTGTTAGCAATACATTGCATCATCCATCGACAACATTTAGTTGCTAAAAATTTGAGTGTTAGATTGCATGAATCACTTCATTTAGTCATTGATGCAGTAAACCGAATCCGAAGCAACGCGTTGAATACGCGGTTATTTGCGCAGTTGTGTGAAGAAAATGACGAACACTTTCATCAATTACTCCTTCACACTGAAGTACGCTGACTGTCGAAAGGCTTATGTTTGACAAGATTTTATGCACTTTGTGAGACTATTTTAGAATTTCTGGATACTAAAGATAAAATTTTAAAAGAAAATTTAATGAAGAGGAAAACAGACATCGCCTATTTAACAGATTTGTTTACAAAATTTAATATGGTTAATTTTCAATTGCAAGGCGACAGTTTAAAACAAAGTCCATCTTATCAGCGTTTCTTGCCAGAGTTAAACTAATGAAGCAAAATATTGGACGGGGCGAATTTTCTCAGTTCCCCAATTTCTCACAGACAAGCTGCCAGGAAGACGACGTTTCAACTTACGTTCAACATTTAAATGCCCTCTATTCAGATTTTGAATATAGGTTTGGGGATATTTTGACTGTGGTAATACCACCGTGGATAATTAATCCATATGGTGACATAGAAGAAACGAATGTCATAATACAAGAGGAACTGACGGAACTAAGTACAAACGAAGAACTTAAGGTTCAGTTTAAAAACGGATATCAGCAATTCTGGCTACAAAACAACACACCCGTTACTTATTCCGTATTATGGAATATAGCGAGGAAATTTTTAATTTCCTTTCCATCGTCATACCTAGTGGAAAGGGGGTTCAGCGCTGTTACCAATCTCATAACGAAAAAAAGAAACAGGCTGGACATCATTAGCCGAGGAGATTTAAGATTCACCCTTACAAAATTGACGCCAAATGTTGATAATTTATTATTAAAGCATCAGGTTCATCCTTCTCACTACAAATATTGACTTATTGCTTATGTTATATAATTTATAGTTTATTTTATGTTTATTGGTGTCTGACCAATAAATGCCCGCATTGGGAATAAGTGCCGGCATTGTTTTTTTTTAAAGAACGCCCCTTTATAGAAAATATTTTTTTTAATTATTCTGAAAATTCAAGGATAGGTACACACTAAAATTCGTTAAGTTTTTGCCTATTTTTAGATAACTTAAACGAATAAGAAGCGGAATTTAATCAAACTAACAGCGAAATTATAAGAGAACATACGTTTATGTTATAATTAATAAACGAACTCGCTTATTGTACTATTTTAAGTAAAAACGTTTTTTTTTATTATTTTTCCCTTTTTTTATTTTATCCCTCTTATTTTTTTTTTCAATGCGGGCACTTATTCCCAATGCGGGCACTTATTGGTCAGACACCTGTTTATTTAATGTTACGTATATATAATAACAGATACAAAATTTTATTTTGAGTAGCTTTAATTTAAATTCAATTAATAAATGTCTAAATTAACATGTGTTTTTACTTTAAGTCTTCAACACTAAACTTCACTACACTTAGAAATTTACAGGAAGTCAATATCAGGTAAGTAGGGGGTCTACCCAACACGGAAAAACATGGCAAGGGGTCTACGACACAAAAAAGTTTGGGGAACTCTGATCTACACGGACACGCAAGTTAAAAATGTCGCAGTCATGCCAGCGTGGAAGCGCCGAATTACTAATCAAATCGATAGTGTCAGGCGGGACATAGGAATTCTGACACAAAATCAAAGCTTGAACCCCAGTAGCTCAGTCACTAAGAAAGGCAAAGCCATTCTTGAAAGGGAACAAAGCCTCGAAAATCCAACAGCAACAGAAGTACTGGATCACCTTAAACAAAGACTCAAAGCTATGGCTAAAACGCTCCGACGGTATAAGGAAAGTAACGCAAGACATCAACACAACAGTCAGTTTAGCAGGAGTGAAAGGAGGTTTTATAGAAATTTAGAGTCTGAAGATCAGGAGCCTCAAACCCTGCAAGAAAATAAGGTTCCCACACCAGAGGCCACGAAGACGTTTTGGGAATCAATCTGGGGAAACCGTGTGATTCACAACAAAACCAGATGGCTGTTTGACGGGAAGAGGTCTACATCTAACCTCCATACTATGTTAGAATAAGAAGTGACAACCGACCAAGTAACCAAGGTATAAACAAGACCTTGAATCGGAAGGAACCTGGACCGGATAAAATCCAGAATTTCTGGTATAAACAATTCAAGGTCATTCATGTACATCTAGTCAAATGTTATACATACTCACCTGCTGTCCAACCCTGAAGAACTACCACCATTCATGACCAGTGGTATCACTTATTTGTTACCAAAAACGAAGGTACCCTCAGAAGATCCAACCAAATATAGGCCGATCACCTGCCTTCCTACAATATATAAAATATTCGCGTTCATCCTATCGGAAAAGATATACAGCCAAAATTATTTCAAACACCAATCAAAAAAGTGTAGATGCAGGCACCATTAAAATAGGAAAGGGAATATTCCAAGGGGACGCATTAAGTCCACGATGGTTCTGTCTATCGCTGCGACCCCTGACAACTATGTTGAATAGGCAGCGCAAAGGTTATATATGTATACTGCCACACTCAGACAAGAATATTAGCCACCTTTGGTGCACGGATGATTTAAAGCTGTACGCAAAATCTAAAAAACACATCGACGACCTTCTGACTTGTGTCACTCGATTCAGTCGCGACATAAAAATGTCATTTGGGCTGGACAAATGTAGGACCAGCGGGATGGAGAAGGGCCAGTGGGTACATCACGCGGGATATGAAGTCGCTGAGCGGCAAACCGTCGCTGGAATGGAAGAGGGAGAAAGATATAAATATCTTGGTTATCTGCAAGCAAGGGGCCTAGATCATACAGCAGCAAAACAGACAGTAAGTGACACCTACATTAGAAGAATCCGGTCGATACTGAAGACGAAGCTGTCTGTCAGAAACATGGCAAAAGCAGTTAACACCTATGCCTCTTCTGCAGTTTCTTATAGCTTTGGAGTAATTCACTGGACCGAAACAGGACGCAAAAGCCTTAATATAAAAACCAGAAAAGAGCTCAGCAAATTTCGAGCGCATCATCCGCGTTCATCCTTCCCTAGAAAGTTGGGTGGAAGACGTATACCTGATCTGGTTATTAACCACAACAGGCAAGTAACAAACCTTAGGAAGTACTTCCTCAGCCGGGCTGCGTACAGTGAGATTCACCACGCTATCATAAGGGCAGACAATAAGGCTACTTCTTTAAGAGTAGCAGACCAAAACTTCAGCCTCATCGTGGACCAGCTCATGCCCGAGCAACAACTGCAACAATGGAAGAGTAAGGCACTTCATGGTAAATACCGCACCCTACCCGAGAACGATAACACCTTCGCGTCCACGGCCTACCTCCGCTCTGGAAACCTGTTTGTTGAGACATCTGCTATCCAAAATCAGGTCATCGCAACTAAAGTATATAAAAGAAACATAATGCGGGAACGACAAGACAATATCAGATGCCGTGTGTGCGGTGAAAAGGATGAATACCTGGATCACATCATCGCTGGTTGCTCAATGTTGCCACCGGAATCCTATCTAGACAGGCACAACAGAGTCGGAAAAATAATCCACCAAAGCGTTCGTGAAAAGTACATGGGATTGACACAAATGGTGCCGTACTATTTATACGAGCCGCCTGCTGTGTGCGAAGATGAACAAACCCGGCTCTACTGGAATCGAAAAATTGTAACTGATACACCGATAAGTAATAATATACCGGATATCGTGCTCACTCTAAAAAATGAAAACAAAATATACGTAGTAGATTTCGCTGTGCCATTGGAAGCCAACCTAGAAAAGACACATGGAGAAAAAATCAATAAATACCTACCTGTGAGCGATGAAATCCGCCAAATGTGGGACATGGAAACAGTGGTCATCATTCCCAGTGTGATCGGAGCAACTGGAAAAATACCTAAAAGATTAAGAACATCACTGCAACAACTAGGATTACCGTTTGAATTATACTTACCCATGCAAAAGTCGGTCGTGTTGGGCACATGCAGTGTAGTCCGTAGAGTTTTAGGCGGCAACTAGAACAAGATGTTTCTAACATCATCATAGAACGGGCAAAACCGATGCGCCAGCGTTCTTAACCCAGGGAAGCCTGTGAATGAGTGAATAATAATAATAATAATAATAATAATAATAATAATAATAATAAGAATAATAAAAGAGACGAGGTACATCAGAACTGAGCGTTGAAAATAAAATAAAGGCAGTCTTGCTGTACCGGTAATGCAGTATAGCTTTGGAATATTGAACTGGAGCGGATCAGACATTGAAAAAATAGATAGAAAAACCAGGAAACTATTAACCATCTATAAGTTTCATCACCCCAAAGCTGACAAAGACCGACTCTATATTCCAAGGCGCGATAGTGGCAGAGGTTTAATTGAACTCTGTAGTGCATACAGGATGACAATTGCCGGCCTTTATGAGTATATACTCCATTCTAACGACAAGTTCATCAAGTTAGTGCTATTGCATGAGCAACGAAAGGCTAAATACTCCATTACAAAGATCGGGGAAGCCATGAAAACACAATATGCATACCAATTGAACGAAGATCAGTCATCGGACAACTTGAAACTCAGAGTAAAGGAGGCCATGCGAACAGAAAAAGTCAACGCCCTAAAATCGAAACCACTTCATCGACAGTTCTACAATAACCTACACAAAACCAATGTAGACAAACACATGTCCCTGGATTGGATGAAAAGTACAGGATTGAAGGCGGAGACTGAAAGTCTACTGATTGCTGCACAGGACCAGGCACTTAACACGCCCTACCATAGAAGAATGGTCCTGAAACAGAATGTCGACAGCAAATGCAGAATATGCCATCAATGTGAGGAACACATAAGCCACATTATTTCAGGCTGCTCAACACTGGCACCAACAGAATACACTGAAAGGCACAACAACGTCGCTAAATACATACACTGGGCTATCCTCAAGCAGCACCAAGTACCAGTTAGCAACAACTGGTATGATCATTCTCCTGAAGCAGCAGTAGAGAC